ACTTGTATATTTACTCGTATGTTTTATTCTAAGATTTGTATAGTTTCACCTCTTACATTTAGGGCTATAAATAATATTGAGTTAAAAATTTTATGTGATGTGAGATAGGGATCCAAATTGATTCTTTCTGTGTAGATATTCAGTTTTCTAAGAATGGCTTGTTGAAAAGACTAATTTTTCTCATTGAATTTTCATAGCACCGGGGTTAAAATCAATTAATCATAAATTACCATAAATTATTTCTGGACTCTCAATTTTATACCATTGAACTGTATGTCTCTCCTATGCCAATACCAGACTATCTTGATTACTGTAGCATTCTATTAAGTTTTGAAATGAGAAAGTGTGAGTCTTCCAACTTTGTTCTTTTTTGAGATTGCTTTGGCTAATTGGAGTCCTTTGCATTTCCATATGAATTTTAGGATCAGCAAAATTGGGGAATATTTCAATCTTAAAAATCCATGAACATGGGATGTCTTTCCATTTATTTATATCTTCTTTAATTTATTTCAATGATATTTTGTACTTTTCATGTACAAGTCTTATACTTCTTTTGCTAAATTTATTTTCAAGTGTTCTACTTATTTGATGTTATTGTAAATGAAATTATTTTCTTAACTCTATTCTTGGATTGGTCATTGTTAGCATACAGAATTATAATTGATTTTTGTATATTAATTTTATATCTTGCAACCACACTGAACTCATTTGTTAATTTGGATAGTTCTTTGTGGATTTCCCAGGAATTTCTACGAACAAGATGATGTCTTTTGCAAATAGAGATTTTTTTTCTTTCTTTTCAATCTGAATGACTTTATTTCTTTTTCTTGCCTGATTGTCCCAGCTGGACACCATTACACTGTTGAATATAAATGGAAAGAACAGTCAAACTTGTCTTGCTCTGATCTTAAGGGGAAAGTAATCACCCTTTCAACATTAAATATGATGTTATGTGTGTTTTGATAGATACAATTATCAGATTGAGGACATTCCCTTTCATTTTAAGTTTTTTGAATGTCTTAACATAAGAGTATTTGATTTTGTGTAATAATCAGCTAAATAAATACTTTCTTTTTCAAAAAAGCCCTTTATTCTATTGATATTGTTATTACGTTAACTGATTTTCAGCTGTTAAAAGAACCTTGCATTCCTAGGATAAATCCCACTTAGTCATGGTATATAATCCTTTATACATGTTGCTGGATTCATTTTGCTAGTGTTTTGATGAGGACTTAGGGGCTGATATTTGTCAGGGATAGTGGTCTGTAGTTTTCCTGTGATATCTATCTTTGGTTCTCATATGAGGGTAATAGTAGCCTTAGTGAAATAGTTGGGAAGTGTTCCTTCATCTTAAATTTTTTGGAAGAGTTTCTGAAGGATTGGTATAAATTCTGAAAACATTTGGTAGAACCCACTAGTGAAATTATTTGGGCCTGGCCTTTATTTTACAGGAAGATTGAAAATTATTAATTTAATCTCTTTACTTTTTATAGGTCTATTCTAATTTTCTATTACTTCTAAGTAAATTTTAGAAATTTATATCTTTCTGAGAATTTGTCTATTTCACCAAGGTTATCTAATTTGTTGACATACAGTTATTCACAGTATTCCCTACAATATTTTTTATTTCTATAGGTTGGTAGTGATGTCTCCTCTTTCATCACTGATTGTATTTATTTGAACCTTTCTTTTTCTCGGTCAATGTTCTTAGAGTTTTGTGAATTTTCTTGAACTTTTCAAAGAATAACTGGGTCTTGTTGATTTCCTCTATTTGTTTTAATTTTCTATTTCATTTATTCCAACTTAAATCTTCTAATTTCTTTCCTGCTATTTGTTGGATTTAGTTTGCTCTTCTTTTTCTAGTTCAGTTATTGATTTGAGGTCTTTTTTCTTTCACAATAGGCACATACAGCTATGGATTTCCCTGTAAGCACTATTTTAACTGCATCCCAAAAGTTTTTAAATTCTGTTTTTGTTTTTCATTCATCTCAAAGTATTTTGGAATAGTCAGTGTAATTTATTCTTTGACCCACTGATTATTTAGGAGTATGTTGTTTTCCAAATTTCTAAATTTTTCATCAGTTATTGATTTTTTTTAACATTTATTCATTTTTGAGAGACAGAGCATGAGTGGGGGAGGGGCAGAGAGAGGAGACACAGAATCTGAAGCAGGCTCCAGGCTCTGAGCTGTGAGCACAGAGCCTGATGTGGCGCTCAAACTCACAGACTGCAAGATCATGACCTGAGTTGAAGTCGGATGCTTAAGCAACTGAGCCACCCAGGCGCTCTTCATCTGTTGTTGATTTTTAATGTAATTAGAATTTGTGATCAGCTAACACACTTCATATTATTTTCGTCCTTTTAAATTTATTGAAGCTTGATTTGTGACCTAACATATGATCTATCTTGGGGAATATTCCATGTGTACTTGATAAGACTTTGAATTTTGCTATAGTTAGGTGGAATGTTCCATAAATGTCTCTTAGATTTAGTTGGTTTTTGGTTTTGTTCAAGTCTTCAATTTACTTTTTGGTCTGCATAGTTCTTGGTTCTGCTTATTATTGAAAATGGTCTACTGTTATTGGTCCATTATTTATGCCTCCCTTTAAAAAAAAAATGTTTATTTTGAGAGAGAGAGGCAGACAGCGAATCCTAAGTAGACTTCATGCTCAGCATAGAGCCTGATGCAGGGCTCATTCTCATGACTGCAAGATCATGACCTGAACCAATATTGAGAGTTGGATGCTTAACTGACTGAGCCACCCAGGTGCCCTTCTATTCCTCCCTTTGATTTGTCAGCTTTTGTTTTGTGAATTGGGGGCTTCATTGTTACATGCATATGTATTTATAACTATCTGTCTTTTTGATGTATTAACCCTTTTATCACCATAAAATGTCATTCCTTGTCTGTAGTAACAATTTTTGTTAAAATCAACTATATCTAGTATTGTCAGTCCTTTCATCTGGTTGTTGTTTGTACAGTATATCTTTTCACATCCCTTGACTTTCAACCCATTTGTGCATTTGAATTTAAAGTGCATTTTTTTTGGTGCAAAAAGTTGATTTATTAAAGCATAGGGACAGGACTCATGGGCAGGAAGAGCTGCACTGGGGGTGTGAAGAGTGACTGATTATATACTATGGAGTTGAGGGAGGTAAAGGCAAAAGGGAGGCCTCCGAAAGGAATTTCATATACTAACGAGAACTCATAAGATACCAGAGGCCTGGCTATTGTCAAGCTAAGTTGTTTTCCTCTAGTAAGGCATTAACATTAAGACAATAGGGAGTTCCTGGAGAAATGTTATACTCTACATTTTCCTCAAGTATTTGTCAGTGGGCTACGGATTATAAAGAAATTTAATTTTACCTACCATTTCCTGCTTGCCTTTGTTCCCCACAGCACTCCAGAGGGGAGGATAATGTTGGGGCTCCAGGAAACTGAGTCTATAAGTTTCTGGAGATTAGGCTATTGATAATATTGCATTTTTCTTGTAAATTACTGAGACATTTGTAAACTGGTGGAGACTCATGTCCTGCATGACTATGATCACTATCAGTTGACCATTTTTTTTTTCTTTCCTTTGCTCTTGGGCTGCCAGGAGTGCCTGAAGAATGTCACACATATCCCACTCTCGGGGAGCAGGGTTATTGTTAGCTTGTGCTTTGCCTTCAGCTTGCCTTACGCTCCCTTATCATACCCCCCCAAATGTAAAGCGTATCTCTTCTAGATAGCATATAGTTGAATAATGTTTTTGTATTCATTCTGTAACTCTGTCTTTTGATTAGAGTTTTCAATCCAGTTACATTTAATGTAATACTTAAAAGATGTTGACACTTGCTTTTTTTACCATGTGCTTTCTATATGTCTTATAAACTTTTTTCTTTTATTCTTTCATAAAGTCCTTTTTGTGTTAAATATTTTTAGTACACTTTTTTAAAATTTTTTTAAACACTTATTCATTTTTTGAGAGAGAGAGAGACATAGAATGAGTTGGGAAGGGGCAGACAGAGAGAGAGAGACAAAATCTGAAGCAGGCTCTGGGCTCTGAGCTGTCAGCACAGAGCCCGATGTGGGGCTTGAACCCACGAACCATGAGATCATGACTGAACTGAAGTCAGATATCAACTGACTAAGCCACACAGACACCCTTTTAGTGTACCTTTTTAATTACCTTGTTGTTTATTATACTATATATTGTTTAGTTATTTTCTTGGTGGATGCCCTGGAGATTACAATAAATAACTTAAACAAATTAATACCAACTTAATTTCAAAAGTATTGTGCTATTGTTGTTGTACTAATACATCTCTGTACTTCATAAGTCCCCAAATGCAGTTTGGTCATAGGACAAGAGAGTCTTATGTTCTCTGATTCTTACAGGCCCTGATGAGCAGACAAGCTCTCATTATTGTGGTTTTCTGCAACTAGTTCTGACACTCATACCTAATCCCAAGGATCCATAAGTTAGGGAGATAGAAGGAAATCTGGTCCACCATCTAATAGGTGCTTACTATATTTACATGGTTGCACTGTGCTCAATATGATGAAAGGCATCAAGGAGTCACAGAGAAAGTCTAAGGTACAGTACAGATAATGCAGCTGTGAAGACAGGAGTACATCACAACACAATTCTGGAGCAACCAGACATGGAGTATAAATACTAGTTCAAGGGAAGAGAATGGAGAACTTGGTGTGAGTATAAATATAAAGGGAAGACTCTATGGAGGAGGAGATCAAAGAATGGATAGAAACTAAAGAAATAGAGGAAAGAGTAGAAGGTATTTGAGGAGGAGGGGTGAATGGGCAGTATATAGAGAAAACGAAAGGAGTACAGATAGGGAAATAGATGTCCAAGTCTGATAGGAAGGAAGTTTCCAGCGGTTTTCTCACATATACTTCATCTCATGGAACCCTTGCATGCAGCCCCAGCTTTGGTTTCCATGTCCTGGGGCCACCCCCAGAAGCTAACTATGTCCTATGTCTGTTTGACTCTCTACAGCTCCCCTTCACTGACGGCCTGTACCACTTTTACCACAATGGCCTTGCAAAGGCCAAGAGAAGACGCAGCCTACATCACAAGCAGCAGCTGGAGAGAGACCCCAGGGTGAGTTTCCCTGGACACCTGCCTTACAACCTCTGCTGCCACAACTGAGCCCACTGAGGGAATGTATAAAGGGATGGGTGGGGAATTTTGAAGTAAAGACACTCAAGTATTATGATAGGCAGAATGGATCTTTGGCAGAGTGGTACTGGGGACTCTCTACTCTTCTACCTTGTGCATGATAAATAAATATTTTATAGGCTGTGGAGACGGTGGGGAATAAACAGCGACACCACCCCTTTACTGGCTATCTTCTCCTGCATTATTGTGTTTGGACTTCTGGTTCCCCGGGAACATGTTTTGACCTGTGATGGATGGGAAAAAACCAAGCTGTTTAATGAGTTGTTTTATGGAAGGTTTCTTCTGGTGAGTCCACATGTTCTGAGGAGGTTGCTGTGCCCCCTCCTGGATGTGGAGAAATGAGCGGGTCGGCAAGTGCCTGGCTCATGGTAGACAATGGGCTTCTCAGTATCCATGCAAAGTTGCAGCCTTTCTCTCCGTATTTTCTCACACCCATCTAATTTACCACCATGCCTTAATGGTGCTCATGACCCCCATTTTTAATTTGGAATCTTTACCTTGCTCTTGGAATCCAGATCTCATTTCCTACTCCCCCTGGAAGCTTAAATTCAACTTCCCCACAGTCAAAGTTAATATTTTAGCCACAAAACAGCTCCATTTCCAGAATAGGAACTTTGGTCATTCCTGAATCCTCCATCAAATCCCTTCTGCCATCCTCCTATACTCACAGACTCATTCAATTGAGTAAGAGAAAATATTGTCTTATTAATTATTAATAAGATAAGTTATTTCCTTCTTAATTAAGGGAAATTAATAATCCAAGCAAGTTGCTCTCTGCACATTGATGGCTGCTCAGCCTCTTCTCCAGAACTCTTGGGGGGACAGTGGATATAAAGTGGGCCAGACAGTTGAGTTAGAGATTTACACATGAGATTCTTTTGGAGTTGATAGAATCTGGAAACTCATTCTGGTGGAGCTTTTCATGTGAACATTTGGCTGGGTTTAATTTGGGCTTTAATTAGGAATGCAGATGAAACAGACGCCCCCAGCAGACCACCAACTGACAGGCCATAGGCAATTTTCCTTCAACTCCTCAACCCAGGGGATCCCCCATTCCCTGGAGTGGAAATTCTGCTCTGAGAAGCCACTTTATCTGCTTTCACAGTAAGACCCAAGCTGCCTGCTTCCAGCCCATGCCAGGCATTCTCAAAGGGTCTGTTGTAGAACCTGGCATCGTTATCTAAGGGAAAAGCTCTATTTTCTGTGTCATAACTCCATTGGCCCTGGCTGTACCAACTCAGAGCTTGGGGAATACCTTGGGAAGAGGCATTATATAGGACAGAAATCCTGTATGTCTCACCTATGGGTCCAGAGTGGATACCAGTAGACAAAGACCATTCTGGTGCACTGTGACATTGGTTTTCCCTACACTTCATCGCTGTCCCATGATCTTACCCTTTATGGTCCATTGTTTTCCTTTTATTTATTTATTTGCTTCAAAGTCCCATTGAGTTCTCCTCTTCCACAATTAAAGATGTTTCCTCAAGACCATCCAGGGAGAAAAAAAAAAAAAAAAAAAAAAAAAGAAACTGGGACAGAAGGAAAGAGAGGCTTGGGAAAGAGAACTGAGGAACAGTGAAACTAAGAAGCCATTGTTTGGGTCAGAGAGACTCCTTGGGCCCATTAGGTTAAGATATTCTTATACTTACTTGAAGTAATCTTTGAAATGTTTATTCTTGAAGTTTAGAGTGATATTTTCAAAAGAGAAGAAAATAAAATGGGCTAGGTAGTAAGGAAGGAGATCATGCACTAGTGATTCTAATCATTTGTCTTTATCTTCAAAATATTGTCTGTTGTAACCAAAAAGGGCAGCTATTCCCCCATCACTGCCTACTAGAAGGATCCTGGTAGCCATCTGCCTCTACGTGGTGGGACAACCATCTGCCCTGCCCATGATCATTAGAAGATAGCAGGGACACTAACAATCATACATCTCCTGTACCTCTTCTCTGTCCTCTCATCAAGGGTAAATGTTAAGACTGTTGTCAATAATAAAATCATTCTAGGAAATGAAAAAAAGCATAAAATTTCATAATTCTTTGGGGAAAAAAAACTACTAGTGATGACTGCCTCATTTCAAAATATTAGATCAAGCCCTGAGTCTTTCCTGCATGATGTTCTTGTGGTTATCTAATTTGGGCATCAGCTGATTGCAAAATATGGGGGTGACTATTCTTTTTTTCTTATTCCAGTATAATGAACATACAGTGTTACATTAGTTTCAAGTGTACAATATAGTGATTCAGCAATTCCATACCTTACTCAGTGCTTCTCACAATAAGGGTACTCTTAATCCCCATCACCAATGTCACCAATCACCAACTCCCCAACCTCCCACTGGTAAACACCAGTTTGTTCTCTATAGTTAAGAGTCTGGGGGGGGGGAGGTTGGTTTGTCTTTTTTTTTTTCTTTATTCATTTGTTCATTAAATTCCATATTTGAGTAAAATATTATGATCCTTGCCTTTCTTTGACTGGCTTATTTCACTTAACATGATACTCTCTAGGTCCATCTATGTTGTTGCAAATGACAATAATTCATTATTTTTATGGCTGAGTAGTATTTCATTGCATATATATACCACATCTTCTTTATCCATTCATCTATCAATGGACATTTGGACTGCCTCCAGCATTTTACTATCGTAAATAATGCCACAATAAACATAGGTATGCATATGTCTTTTTAATGTTTTCTTTCATACTCTTTGGACAAACAGTAGTGGAATTCTTGGATCGTAGGGTAGTTCTATTTTTAATTTTTTGAGGAACCTCCATACCGTTTTCTGCAGTGGCTGCACCAGTTTGCATTCCCACCAACAATGCATGAGATTTCCTTTTTCTCCTCATCCTCATTGGAGGGGGTGCTATTCTTAAACAAAAAGCATTGACTATGATCAGTGCAAGAGTAGCACTATAAAGACTCTGCCTTGTGGGTTTACAGATCTTAAACAAAAGGGCAAATATGTCAAGAATTAGGATACCTCAAGTTTTGGGTTCCAAGCACATTCACACAGGCTGCAAAAAGAAAAATAAATAGAAGGAGAGGAAGAAAAAGGAAAGGACCAGATAGCCAGAAAGGATTACTGGTCCAGGCTTTTATCTCTTGGGTACATGTTTTAAGTTACATTTTAGGAGCCAACATCTTAAGGGCAAGTTGTTTTATCACTCTCTGAAACGTGTTATCTCCTAGACTCATGCCTGCAGCCCTAGTTTCCTTCTTCCTCCTGTCTCCACATTTCTTCCTGGCTTTTCTCACTCGCTGTCCTGCAGCTGGGGAAGGATGATGCAAAACCCAAGCAACCAGGCCTATAAGAGCAGGAGGGTTTGAGTAGCTACAGGCTTTCAGGGCTGAATCTACTAGGTAGTTTTTAGTCATAGAAACTACCAAGATGTGCTATCAGCTCAAGAAATAAGGGAAAAGGTAGAGGATCAGACTTGACTTTGGTTTTGTTCTGGCTTCAGAACAAAAGTTTCAAGGATGGTTGACCCTCACCTAGCAAATACTTTTTGTGTTTAAGAAAAACAACAGAAAGACTGGAAAAGGATCATATGTGCTTTTTGTCCAGGCCAATAAAGTTCTGCTTTCAATATGTTCATATTCATTCACTAAGTGTCAGGACAACAGCTAAGAAAATAGATTCTGATGCAGATTGTTTTAAAGGTGTTCTCTCGCCTTTCCATCTCTTTCTGCTAAATGCGTCTTGCTTATTTCTGGATATCTTTGCACAGCACAGTTCTGAATACATAGAAGATGTTCAATAAATAACTGCCAAATGAATGGAGGATTAATAATTTTTTCTCAGGGTTTTAATCCATGAAAAAGTTCTTCTCATCTTGTATTTTTGTCCTTATTCTAAAATGTGCACCCTCTAGGAAACAGCATAGCCTTCTCTTTAGCTCCTCCTTTCAGTATATTCTTAATTGTAGGTAAAAGAAACAAGTTACCATTTTATGACTTCCAGGCCCTGTCACTGAGAACCCCATGAAGAACCAGTTATTTATTTATTTATTTATTTATTTATTTATTGAAAAAGAGAGAGTGTGTAAGGGAAGGGTGGAGAGAGAGGGAGAGAGAATCCCAAGCAGTCACCACACTTGTCAGCATAGAGCTCAATGTGGGGCTCGAACTCACAAACCATGAGATCGTGACTTGAGATGAAATCAAGAGTTGGAGGCTTAACTGACTTAGCCACCCATGTGTCCCAAGAGCCAGTTTTTAATTTCAAAAGTCCAATACACTGGGTTGCTGATCATATTCACGGTCCCGGTACAACCACCCACATGAGGGCAATATGTTTGGAAAGTTTGGGTAGCTAAAATAATTTAAAGAGGGAATCATTAAACCCAATGCTGGGCTGAAATAATAAAACTAGAAATGACTTCTGAGCATCAAGGTTAAGAACAAATATCCCCTGCCCAAAATGTCTGTGGGATTTGTTAAACTTCAGCTAAGAGCAACGTCAATGAGTCTTGAAACCAAATCTGACTGCAGTCCACAGTCTACATACCAACTCCCCACAGCTCTGCAAGTGGCTTAAAAGCTGCAGAGAATAGATTTGTTTAAGATAATATTTGTTTCACAGTTACGTTGAACCCTGTTTGCATATCTGACATAGCGTTGAAATGAAATACATTAAAAAACATGAAGGTTCCCATCGTTCAATGAGCAACACACATTAGCCATATGGAGGCCAAATAATTTAACAACAAATAATCTGAACGTCATTTGTTGAGAAAAGTTAATTTGATTTGAGAATTACAAGCACTTATTCCCTTCTCAGAGCAATTTTACTAGACCACATAGTGATCACTTGAAATCATTTTAAAATCATTTCGCAAGTCAGAAACTCCTATCAGTTTGCTGAAAACTCATCTCAGTTCCCATTCTCAAAGAATGGATGATGTCTCCCTTGCATTCT